TGTATGAGATACAATTGGAAGGAGTTCCTACCTAAATAACCTAGTTTTGTGTAATCAGCCTAACACTGACTTAGAACAAAGTGAAATGTGGATCTCGACCCACTAGAAAGTCTTCCAACGGGATTTTCCGAATCAAATGATGAGGGTCATTTGGTTTGAGTAAAATAGTGGGAGCATATTTGATTAAAAGCCTAATTAAACATGTTGTTTTAATGATACTTATATTTTCAATTTTTTTAAGATTACCATGACAACAAACAACCATATTTTGCGATCAATCCTAGATAAGGAAAAATTGTCTGGGACAAATTTCCTGGATTGGCACCGAAATCTGAGGATTATCCTCAAGCACGATAAGAAGCTGTATGTCTTGGAGACACCTGTTCCTGAAGAGGAACCACCTAGTTCGGCACCTAAGGCAAAAAGAGATGCTTATAAGAAGCATTTTGATGATGCTAACAAAGCCTCTTGTCTCATGCTAGCTACTATGAACTCGGAGTTGCAAAAGCAACACGAGAACATGTCAGCGTTCGATATGATCGGTCATCTGAAAATGCTCTATCAAGAGCAGGCAAGAAATGAGAGGTTTCATGTTTCAAAGGCCCTTTTTAACAGCAAGTTATCTGAGGGAAACCCTGTAGGTCCCCATGTACTCAAAATGATTGGGTATATGGAGAACCTTGACAGGTTAGGGTTTCCGCTTGGAAAGGAACTTGCAACTGATTTTATCTTGCAATCGTTGCCAGATAGCTTTAATCAGTTTGTCATGAATTTCAACATGAATGACATGGATAAGAGTCTTCCAGAATTTCTAAGCATGTTGAAAACTGCTGAGCAGAATATGAAGACAAAAGGGAAGTCCATTCTGATGGTCAGTAATGGAAAGAAGCTGAACAAGAGGCCTACCAAGAAAGTTGGTAAAGGGAAAGGCAAGGAAGTTGCCAAGCCTAAACCTACTGTTCCTGCTTTGAAGCCTAGTGGAGGCATAGCAAAGGAGGGCACTTGCTTCCATTGCGGTAAGACCGGACATTGGAAGAGAAACTGCCCAAAGTACCTGGAAGATATGAACAATGGAGTAGGGACTTCAAATTCAGGTATTTTTGTTATTGAAATTAATTTATCTACTTCTGCATCATGGGTATTAGATACTGGATGCGGTTCTCACATTTGTACTAATGTGCATGGGCTAAAAAGGAGTAGAGATTTGGCAAAAGGTGAAGTTGACCTACGAGTTGGAAATGGAGCAAAGGTTGCTGCTTTAGCTGTAGGAACTTATGTTTTGACTTTACCTAGTGGTTTAATAATTCAGTTAGAGAACTGTTATTATGTACCTACAATTAGTAGGAATATTATTTCCGTTTCTTGTTTGGACAAGTTTGGTTTTTCATTTATAATAAAAAACAATTGTTGCTCTATTTATTTGAATGATATATTCTATGCTTCTGCACAAATGAACAATGGACTATATGTCCTTGATCTTGAAATGCTAATTTATAACATTAATACTAAACGGATTAAACCTAATGAGTTAAATCCAAGCTACCTTTGGCACTGTCGCTTAGGCCACATAAATGAGAAACGCATTTCTAAACTCCATAAAGATGGACTCTTGGACTCTTTTGATTATGAATCATATGAGACATGCATATCTTGTTTAATTGGAAAGATGACAAAGTCCCCATTCACAGGAAAAGGTGAAAGGGCTAATGATCTTTTGTCCCTCATACATACTGATGTATGTGGACCACTGAACATACCAGCCAGAGGAGGTTTTCAATACTTCATCACATTTACTAATGATTTCAGTAGATATGGTTATGTGTATTTAATGAAACACAAATCTGAAACCTTTGAAAAATTCAAGGAATTCAAGAATGAAGTACAAAACCAACTAGGTAAGAATATTAAAGTTCTTCGATCAGATCGAGGCGGTGAATATTTAAGCCTAGAGTTTGATGACCATTTAAAGGAATGTGGGATTTTATCCCAACTTACTCCTCCCGGAACACCACAATGGAATGGTGTATCTGAGAGAAGAAATCGAACCTTGTTAGACATGGTCCGATCCATGATGAGTCACGCCGATCTTCCGAACTCCTTTTGGGGACATGCACTATTGACTGCAGCTTACACACTTAATTGGGTTCCATCCAAAAAGGTTGAGAAGACACCATATGAGATATGGAGTGGTAAGAAACCACATATGTCTTACATGAAGATTTGGGGTTGCGAAGTTTATGTGAAACGACAAATTTCAACTAAGCTTGAGCCCAAATCTGACAAATGCTTATTTGTGGGGTATCCTAAAGAAACAAGAGGGTATTACTTCTACAATCCTTCTGAGGGCAAAGTGTTTGTTGCTCGAACTAGAGTTTTTCTGGAAAAGGATTTTATTTCCAAAAGAATCAGTGGGAGGAAAATAGAGCTTGAAGAAATTCAAGAACCACAAAGCATTGATACACCTATGGAGGAACTAGAGCAGGAAACACAAGTAGTTGTGGAAGAGCAACCTGCTCAAGTAGAGCAAGACCAGCGTAGGTCAAGCAGGATACGTCAACAACCTGAGAGATATGGATATCTCATAAGTGATCAGGGTGATGTATTACTCATGGATTAAGATGAGCCTGTGACCTACCAAGAAGCCATAACTGGTCCTGAGTCCGAGAAGTGGCTAGAAGCCATGAAATCTGAAATGGATTCCATGTACACAAACCAGGTTTGGACCTTGGTAGAGCCTCCTATAGGAGTTAACCCTATAGGATGCAAGTGGGTCTTCAAAAAGAAGACTGACATGGATGGTAAGGTACATACCTATAAGGCAAGACTGGTTGCAAAAGGCTATAAACAAATTCATGGGGTTGACTATGATGAAACCTTTTCACCAGTTGCAATGCTTAAATCTGTTCGGATTTTACTTGCTATCGCTGCATATCATGATTATGAAATATGGCAGATGGATGTCAAAACTGCTTTCCTTAATGGGAATCTTCTTGAGGATGTGTACATGACACAACCTGAAGGATTTGACATACCAGAAGAAGCCCAAAAGATATGTAAGTTACAACGATCAATTTATAGATTGAAGCAAGCTTCCAGAAGCTGGAATCTTCGTTTTGATGAAACAGTAAAACAATATGGATTCATCAAGAATGAATATGAGCCTTGTGTCTACAAGAAGGTTAGTGGGAGCATGATCGTATTCCTGGTATTATATGTAGATGACATATTACTCATTGGAAACGATGTCCCTACCTTGCAACAAGTGAAGACTTGGTTAGGGAAATGCTTTTCAATGAAGGACCTAGGTGAAGCAACCTATATATTAGGAATCAGGATCTATAGAGATAGGTCACAAAAACTGCTTGGCCTAAGTCAGCGTACATACATAGAAAAAGTGTTGAGACGCTTTAATATGCATGATTCCAAGAAAGGATTCATACCTATGTGTTGTACCCCAATTTTTGACCTAAGATCCCATTTTTATTTTTTGCATTTTTTAAGATAAGTCAAGGTCACGAAATACGGTCGGTTTTAATGTCTCACCTTCGAGCTTTGACTATGCGAAGATTGTCAAGTGTTCTGAACATTTTTAGCATATGTATCACTAATTTCTAATCGCATACAAAGGTGTATGTTCATGTTTTCTTTTGTTTCATGTGCAGAGACAGGTCTGAATCAAGAGCATCAGGTGTCGCGCCTCAATTAAGGTTTTGAGTCTCCCAAGCCAGAAGTATGGTTGATTGTGGATTCTCGAAGACTGATTCATCAAGGCACACCGCTGCACCCTTAATTTCGCCCCTAATATGTTTTAGTCGCACTTTCATATCATATTTTGTTATTTAGTCACAATCATTAGTAAATATCTTCATTCATCACATTTTGCATCATTAGTCGTATTTAAGTTGACCAGAAAAAGTCAGTTTAAATCAAAGTTTGCATCGTCTTTCGGTTGTAAAATACCCGACATTTCATTTCATTCATTTTTATCTGTTTACTATTTTCTTGCACTGCTCCAAATTGTTTATATGTCGATAATAAAATATTTCGGTTTTATAGACAGACTGTTAAAAGCGATTCGACACTATGCGGGAAAGTAGCGAGAAAATATTTCAAGTTTTCACCTTTTACCGATCATTTTATGAATCTGCGCTTCGCGTAGATTATGACGGTATGCTCGCTTTATTTTTTCGGTACAGTTCGAAGTCTCGTTTTTAACCTTAAACGTCTGTTTAGTCTGATATTTTTATTATTATTTTATTTTTGATTTTTGACTTCTTGAATATTTTTTCTTTAATCTTTGTGACATGTAGATTATTTTAATGTGTTCATTTTATTTTTTCGGATAAATTTTCGTCCGTTTTCTTTATCATTTTCGGTCATTTTGGGTCTTTATTTTTTATTCATAAAATATTAAAAAAAAAATCATTTTAAATTGAGTTAATTTTAATACGTTTAGTTTTTTGGTTATTTTTATCATTTAAGGACTATTTGATCACAAAATATATTATTCACACAATACTCTATTCCTATTGGCTGTTGGATGAAATTGAGGATCGATACAAAATCACCAAAAACACAACTCACTTTCAATACACAGTAACCTCTCCTCTCTTCTTATATACACAACAAAAACAATACAACATAGGAAGCAATCTCGGTAACCTTTCTACAACCACAACCTCCCTTCTATTTCTCTTACCCCCATTTCTACACAAAACCCACAATCCCATAACAAATCTCTTCTTCCTCCCTCCGCCTCTGTTTCTTCTCACTACCATCCATTCAATCACCCCTTTCCTACCGTAAACCCACCGAGCCACAGCTCCTCGCGGTACCCACCTCTCCATTATGAACTTTAATTGGAATCTCAACATTCGTAGCTTACTGTCATCACCATATTTCATCTACCTTTGTTCATGAACCCACCTACTACTTTCTTCTCTCTCTCTCTAATTGACATTATATATTATACACACCCCTTAATCCATTCATATCTTACTATGGATTTTAAGACACCTCTCTTTCTCTTGTTTGTTCTTGGCTCAACTTCCCAAACTCTCAAATTCGATATCGGCGGAACCGCTGGATGGTCTCTAAAGCCTTCCGAGAATTACAACGAATGGTCAGGGAGAAACAGTTTCCAAGTCAACGACGTTCTAGTTTTCAAGTACAAGAAGGGTTCAGACTCGGTGTTGGAAGTGACAAAAGAAGCTTATGATAAATGCAACAAAACAAACCCAATCAAAAAGTTGGAAGATGGTAACACAGAGTTTACTTTGGATCGATCTGGACCATTCTATTTCATTATTGGAACTGATCAAAATTGTGAAAAGGGTCAGAAATTAAACCTTGTTGTCATATCCCCACGAGGACACACACCATCTTCTGCTGCTCCTTCACCGTCTACCACCACCCATCTCCCTCAACCTTCTCCATTCCCAAACCAGAATAACAACAACCCATTCCATCATCTCACTGTAACCCAACCTCCACCGTATCCACAACCGTCTCACAACCCATTCCGCTTCACACCTTCACCTTAACATCTCTCTTCCTCATTTCTCACCCTCTCTCACATAGCCACGGTAACTGAACTCAATACCAAACAGAAACCAAGATGGCCGAGCAAACCTTCATCATGATCAAGCCCGATGGCGTTCAAAGAGGCCTCGTTGGTGAGATTATTAGCAGGTTTGAGAAGAAGGGTTTCTACTTGAAAGGTTTGAAATTTGTGAATGTGGAGCGTGCTTTTGCTGAGAAGCACTATGCAGATTTGTCTGCAAAGCCTTTCTCTAGTGGATTGGTGGATTACATTATCTCTGGCCCTGTTGTTGCTATGATCTGGGAGGGTAAGAATGTTGTGACAACCGGAAGAAAGATTATCGGTGCCACAAACCCTGCAACGAATCAACCTCCAATCTCCAAGGTGCAATCTGCAACAATGGCTGAATTTACAATCTCTCGTCAACTTCATCGTAACTCTTCTTTACCTCTTCTAAGACCGGTCCGCTTTCGGCCCATTTCGGGTCCCTTTTTTTTAATTTTATTTATTTCAGCAATATACATAATCGTTTGGGCTTTAGCTTACCATTTAAGCCCAACGAGATTCTCTCTATACACCCTCCATTTTGATGTTTTCTAATTCTCACACCAACTTTGTTAGTTATTTTTTATTGTTAATTAGTTAATAGTAATTCTTTATCATAATTTTAGATAAACCTTAATCGGTTAGTTTAGTTTAGAATCAACTTAACATTTTCTTTAGAATTAGTTAGTAAGTTTAGAATTTTTATCAAGCTTAGTTAGTATTTTTTTAGAATTTTATTCGGTAGTTAATAATTTTAGAATGTTTAATTTAGTTAATAACTTTAGAATGTTTGATTTAGTTTAGTTAGTAATTTTATTTAGTTTAGTTATTAGGTTTTAGAATTTTAATTTAGATTTAATTCAATAATCTTAGAAATTTTAATTGTAGCTTAGAGTTAATTTTTGCTATATCTCTTCATGCTTGTTTTTTTTCTTCCGTCACATATTATTTATTATCATTCACTTGTTATCAATTTTTGTTTATGTTTATTCCTTTTTGACTTTCTTTTCATATGTTAATAAATTTTGTGATATTTTCGACTTAGTTCATTTTAATTTTTATAGCTTATTTTACTGTTCGTTTGTTTAAATCCAAGGGAAAGAATTAATTTGTTGACTTCATGTCATCGAGTATCTAATATGATTATGTGAAATCTCTTCATACTTTTTTTAGTTTTATAAATCTTAAGTTAAATCTCCTCAAAACCTAATTTCAAACACACACTCTTTTAAACCAAAACTTCGACACGAGGTCGTCGTATCTTCAAAATCTCATCCATACCCATTTTGACCAAACGAACCATTTTAATCAAACAAACAATTTTAACCAAAAAACAGATATTTCAAAAGGTTCCTGCGGAGTACCGCAGATGCATTGGGTGCTAATACCTTCCCATTGTATAACCAACCCCCGAACTCTCGATCTCTTTTAAAAACGCATTGTATTTTCATTACTTTTAAATATTAATTTACATTGCATATTTTAGGGTTTTATTTCGCTCTTTTCCCTTTTCCCTTGGAAATAATAAAGCGCGGTGGCGACTCTTGCTTTTGTGAGTCAAGTTAATTAATAGCTTGATCTCCGATTTTCACCGCTACACTATGCAACATGGCATGTGTCTATCAAAAACACAATCCCCTTCAAGTAAGGAAGAAAGGGATCGCATGGATAAGATTCCATATGCATCTGCAATAGGATCTATCATGTATGCCATGCTATGTACTCGACCAGATGTCTCGTATTTTTTAAGTGCAACGAGTAGGTACCAGTCTAATCCCGGTGATGCTCATTGGGTAGCTGTCAAGAATATCCTTAAGTACTTGAGAAGGACAAAGGACTCATTCTTGATATATGGAGGTCAGGAAGAGCTTGTTGTAATTGGATACACCGATGCTAGCTTCCAGACAGATAAGGATGACTTTAGATCGCAATCTGGTTATGTGTTTTGTTTAAATGGTGGCGCTGTGAGCTGGAAAAGTTCAAAGCAAGATACAATTGCTGATTCTACAACTGAGGCTGAGTATATTGCTGCCTCAACTGCAGCAAAGGAAGCTGTTTGGATCAAGAAGTTCATTAGTGAACTTGGCATAGTCCACAGCATTGTGGATCCCATTGATCTCTATTGTGATAACAATTGTGCTATCGCACAAGCTAAGGAGCCTAGATCTCACCAACGATCCAAACACATACTTAGGCGTTATCATCTCATTCGAGAGATAATCGATCGGGGAGATGTAACAATATGCAGAGTACCTACACTTGACAATGTTGCTGACCCATTAACAAAGCCTCTTGCGCAACTGAAGCATGATGGACATACTAGATCTATGGGTATTAGGGGTATGCCTGATTGGCTCTAGTGCTAGAGGGAGATTGTTGGTGTAGGCCCTAGAGGCCAATACTTTTGGTACTTGTATCGAATTATTTATTAATAATAAAAGGCATTTCTTTATTATGTTTGCTTTCCAAAATAATAAAGTCCCTAGAATGGTTTATTTGTTTAATGAAATGTTAAGTGTGACTTAATCATGAGATCCCATTAAACATAAGACAATATTCTTAAAGTATCCGTAGTCAAGCTTTAATGTGAAGTGGGATAACATTAAAGCATTAAGATTATTATGAAGATAGATTGATGATCACATCTCATGGATCATAGATAAGGAGTTATCAAGTCTTGACATAGGTATGAATATTAGGAGTAATATTTATACTGGATTGACCCGCTATGAGAATACTACATAGAATGTTATGCAAAGTGTCATAAGTTATTCTCATGATGATAATGGTGTATACCACCCTTCGACCTGAAACCACTATGGACCCTAGATGTAGAGTCAAGTACTTTATTGCTGATCAAACGTCATCCGTAACTGGATGACTATAAAGACGATTGATGGGTACTTCACAAAGCTTGCTAAGGGACATGAGTGACCTAGATGGAATTTGCTCATCCTGTATAACAGGATAAATGTCCAAGGGCCCAATATTGAACTGGACAAGGGTGACACAGTGTATGCCTTGTGTTCAATATAGACATGAGGGCAAAAGGGTAATTGTACAACACAAATATTATCACAGAAAAGGTTTGGTCAGATCACATGACATTTTCGTGACTTGGGTAACAGTGATGTGTTGCTAGATACCGCTCACTGTTTATTATATTAAATGTGTGATTTAATATAATTGCCAATGTCTCGAAAACCTACAGGGTCACACACATAAGGACAGGTTGATGAGAGATAGAATAAAAAAGGAACACCGTAAGGTACGGTGCACTTAAGTGTAATACAGAAAGTGGTAAGGTACCACATGGATAAGTGATATATGGTACATCATAAGGTATGATGTCCATAAGCTTAATTGGGCTTTTAGCTTATAGTCTTAATTGGGCTTTTAGCTTGTAGCCCACACGAGTGATTCTATAAATAGATCCCTTGTGATGAAGCAATTTCACTTGATGCAATTTCATTTTTGATTCTCTCTCTCACTCAAGGTTTCCGTTCGTGATCAGCTAGCACTGTGACCGGAAGCAATCTATTCGTGTGGACTGAGTAGAGGCGTTGTTCTTCATCAACGCTCGTGATCACAACATCAAAGGTCTGAATCGCCACAAGAGGTAAATATTTCTATCACTGACCATGTTCATTCGTAAGGATCGCTAAAGGAAAATTTTAAATTCCGCTGCACTTTTGATCGCAATTTTCCTTCAAGTAGAGTGCAGAGGAACAATCCTAGCTCATGTCTTGGTTGATACTGGGTCGTCTTTAAACGTCTTGCCGAAGAAAGCCCCTGGATAGGTTGGATTGTGAGGGGCTGACTTTAAAACCCAACAATATAATTGTGAGAGCATTTGACGGCTCTAAAAGGATGGTCCATGGGGAGATGGACATCCCGATCAAGTTGGGTACCCAGACGTTCAATTCAACATTCTACGTGATGGACATCCGTCCTTCTTATTCTTGCCTGTTGGGACGCCCCTGGATTTACAATGTCGGAGCTATCACTTCCACCTTGCACCAGATGCTCAAGTACCCCGTCCAAGGGAAAATCATAACTGTCCATGGGGAAGAGGAATATATGATTAGTCATCTGAATTCCTTCCGCTATGTGGAGTTAGATGGCGAATTCATAGAGACCCCTTTCCAAAATTTTGAAGAAGTCTCTGAAGAAATAGCGGCAACCAAGGCGGTATCCTCAACTCCTGTGATCACAAGACCACCACCTCGGATTTCATCTTTAAAGGATGCAAGAGCAGTAGTGGAAGAAGGCAGATCTACTATCTGGGGTCAGCTTCCCGACTTTCCTTTCAAATCAGACAAATTCGGCTTGGGGTTTACTTCGACCGCTTAAAAGGCTGTGCGCTGCTCCCGTGCTGGATGGCCACCCGTGAAGATCAGCCACCGAGGGGTTAATGCACTAGAGGACAATGAAGACGAGGGCAACTTGGAAGACTGGATTTTTCCTACTGTTGGCGGAGGACTGTGCAACTGGGAAGAAAAAGACTTTGTTCCGATTACTTTCATACCGCAGTAATTTATCTTTTCCATTTCTGTTGGATCTGTAATAATTCACAAAATATTCGTACTTTGTCTACCTTGTGTCTTACCCGAGGCACAACGGTCCATTTATAAGGGTTCTTATTTCATTTTCATATGTCATTTTAATGAATCATGGACGCTTTTCGTATTTAAACCTTTTGTGCTCACTGTATTTCTTTTACATTTTGTTGTTTTAAGATGGCTATCCCTTACACACACCCACACTCACAAATGCAGGTACCCTTCCATTCCGGATCCCATGGGTAACGATACTGCTATAGCCTTCAGTGACTCTGAAGATTCAGTCTACCAAGCCGAATACAAAGGTGAGAAAGATTGTGAGGTGCCAGGGGAATTGGCCAGATTACTACAGCAAGAGGAAAGAGAAATTCAGCCTCATGAGGAGCAGTTGGATACAATCAACTTGGGTACTGAGGATGATAAAAAGGAAATCAAGATAAGTGCCAATCTAGAGCCGAGTGTCAAGGAGCGCCTAATTCAACTACTGCATGATTATGTTTAGATCTTTGCCTAGTCATAAGAAGACATGCTGGGACTTGATACAGACATTGTGGTACACCATCTACCCACAAGAGAAGACTGTCCACCAGTGAAACAAAAGGTCCGCCGCATGAGACCTGACATGTCAGAGAAGATCAAAGCAGAAGTTATGAAGCAGTTCAATGCTGGGTTTCTAGCTATTACTTCCTATCCGCAATGGGTTTCTAACATTGTGCCCGTTCCTAAAAAGGACGGTAAAGTGAGAATGTGCGTGGATTATAGAGATTTAAACAGGGCCAACCCTAAAGATGATTTTCCACTTCCGCACATCGACATCCTGGTTGACAACACAGCTCAACACAAAGTATTTTCTTTCATGGATCGATTCTCGGGCTATAACCAGATCAAAATGGCACCTGAGGACATGGAGAAAACTACTTTTGTCACACAGTGGGGAACGTTCTGCTACAAAGTGATGCCATTCGGACTGAAGAATGCCGGGGCAACCTATCA